TATGGACAGATTCTACCACCATTTCTCCGATAGTGTTTGTCCTGGCTGTATCGTTTTCTTTCTTTCTTTTTTTTTAATTTTTTTTTAATGTTTATTTACTTCTGAGACAGAGAGAGACAGAGCATGAGTGGGGGAGGGGCAGAGAGAGGGAAACACAGAATCCAAAACGCGCTCCAGGCTCCGAGCTGTCAGCACAGAGCCCGACGCGGGGCTCGAACTCACAGACCGCGAGATCATGACCTGAGCCGAAGTCGGACGCTCAACCGAGTGAACCACCCGGGGCGCGCCCCCCAGTTGCCCATTTTCTGACTCCCCACCTGGATGGTCTGATGGCACCTCAGGTGGCCTGTGGCTCAGCAACTTTCCACCTCCTTCTTGATCCTGCTCTCTGCCCAATGCTTTGCTCAGTCCTGGTGGTTCCCTGCTTACAAGACCCCCACTGGCTCCCTCTGTTGTTACTGTGGTGCCACCTACAGCTTTCCACTTGGTGTCTCCACTCTCCCACCAGATAACGCTTCCTGAAGCCAATCCACTTTTTTTTTTATAATGTTTCCTTTTGAGAGAAGAGAGAGCGAGAGAGAGACAGAGCGTGAGCGGAGGAGGGGCGCAGAGAGAGGGAGACACAGCATCAGAAGCAGGCTCCAGGCTCCGACCTGTCAGCACAGAGCCCGAAGCGGGGCTCGAACCCATGAGCCGTGAGATCATGACCTGAGCCGAAGTCGGACACTTAACCGACTGAGCCACCCTGGTGCCTCGCAATCCACTTTTTAAATTCTGTTTCCCTTCGTGCATCTTCCAGTACTTGGCTCTCGAGCCACGGTTCACCTTACACAGCCCTCACTTTCTTGCCTCCAGTCCTTTGCTCACGCCATCTCCTCGCCCGGAAGGTTCTCTCCCACAACCCTCATCCCCACATGCCAATGTTCTGCTGAAGCCTGTGCTCAAACCACTGTCTCTGGAACTCTTAAAACCCTTAAAATTCTCAGTTTTCAAGTATAGGAACTGGGATCAGGAAAAAAAGTGAAATCCTCCCTCCGCGATCCACGTATCTCCATTACTTAGGACAGGAGAGAGAGCTCATTCGCATTTCCACCGGGCTTGGGGCGACAGCTCAAGGCAACGCTCTATCCAGCACAACGTCTCTTTGCAGTTTCATGCTTGATCTTGCAAATGTGTGTGTGTCATTCCATTTCATAATACCTTTATGTTAGCATTAAAACATTTGGTATTATTTACCAGCTAAATGTTCCCCCCCAAACTTTTCTTTTTAATTTATTTTTTATTTTTACATTTATTTATTTTTGAGAGACAGAGAGAGCGTGAGCAGGGGAGGGGCAGAGAGAGAGGGAGACACAGAATCTGAAACAGGCTCCAGGCTCTGAGCTGTCAGCACAGAGCCCGACGCGGGGCTCCAACTCATGAACTGTGAGATCGTGACCTGAGCTGAAGTCGGCCGCTTAACCGACTGAGCCACCCAGGCGCCCCAAAATTGTATGATTTCTCTATGTGTGTCATGGCAGGAAAAAGTTTCCAAAGCGCCGTTCTGGCAAACTCTAAGTTCCGATCCGTGCTTCATCCTTTTGGCCAGCCTCTAATTTGCGGTGCCTGAGAAAACAAAAAACAGGAGCGTCTGGGTGGCTCAGTTGGTTAAGCATCCGACTCTTGATTTCAGCTCAGGTCATGATCTCACAAACTGTGAGCCCTGAGTCGGGCTCTGGGCTGACAACATGGAGCCTGCTCAGGATTCTTTCTCCCTGTCTCTCAAATAAATAAACTTAAAAAAAAAAGTAATAGAATAAATGTTTGGTGGGTGAGTGAGTGCAAGACTGAACAGATCTTCTGGAAGCTGTGGAGACCAGCTCTAGGGTGATGAAAAGGCCGTGACAGCCAAAGCATGTGAGGAAAACATTGTGTATGTTCCGGCTATCTGCGTGGATTCCCTTTGGCCTAAAGAATGACACAAGGGCTCCACAGAAGGAGTCAACACCTTGAACTTGTCTGTGCTTGCAGAGACTGAAGAAATGATCCTGCATCAACTCCCGCCTCCGTGAGACACCTGGCGTGGGGGGGAGGGAGCTTTCTGGGACACTCTACTCACTGTTACACTCCTTTGTCCACCGGCCCTAAAGAAAAGTAGTTTTCAGCATGTTTAGAATACTTCCATCAAAGTTGGTCAGACTCCCCACGCTTCACCTATAAAGTTACGTACTCAACAATCCCTCAGGGAATGCTTCACACACGAGCGTGGAGTTACCTCCAGCAGTGGCATCATCATTTCTGAATCTCGAAAATAATACGTACTATTTGAACACGACATTGGTCGTTCGGTCTATTCAGCTTGCCCAGTGGACACCGGGCGCCTCATTGATCCAACCACTTTTATCCAGATGCCATGTAAATGGCCCGCTCAGTCTCTCTCTGGTCCAAATGCGGCAAGAGAAAGGGAGGAGAGAGCATGAATTCATCCCAGGCAAGACCCACCCACTGACGTTTAAAGAATACCACTGTCCTGTAGTTTCAAAGTCCAGCCAGGAGAGGGCACAGAAAACTTCTGCTCGGTCGGCTAATAAGGAAGAGGAGTTTTAGCAAATGGACACAGCGCTCCTTCAATCTTCTATCATGTGACGCAGAGTTTAGGTCATTTAGTCTGATTTCATCAGCCCACAACAATTTTATCATGCAGTAGGCCACCTTAATGTGATCTTTGCACCGTTTAATTCTCTCTTGCAGAAAATGTTCAGATTTCTTTAAGGCCCCGGCAGTTTCCCCTGATTTCTTTCAGACGGCAGTCCTCTTTGCCTCTCGCAGGAAGTCAGCTGCTTCTGAATAGCACCTCTTCCCCTGCAAAGTGGAGACTGGAGGAGCTAACCTCTCCTGACTTCTTGGTGCTGACGCACAGCTGAAAGTACATCGTCAACCTGCTCCCGATGGTGCGAAGGGCGTTAGACAAATGCGGGGCTGATTATTAACTATAAACTATATACCCTGAGTAAGTAGACCTGACTCAAGTTACTAGTGAGACTGAATACTCAGTAATTGAGGACTAAAGGGACTGAGGCTTAAAACCCAGGTTCCAGAATGATGGAAACCTCAGGGACATGTGGGAAAATGCCATGGAGACAAACCCATCTGCGAACCAACTCATGCTAGGCAGTTCAGACCAGGAGAACGTCATCATGCATGTTTGGAGGAGAAGGATCCAAGCGTGAAGTACAGATCTCATACAACAAAGCATGTATGATACAATGTTTCCTGCAGTATCATAAAGTCAATGGGATGAGAAAGTATTTGTTCTGTTTCATTATGACTTACTTTTACATCCCAGTTTCTGTCTGAATTGAACACTCGATGTATATTATCTCGTTTGTCTTTCCAATTACCCTACAGATAAAACATATTGTCTATATTTGATAAGGAAACTGAAGTGCTCAGCCAGTGATGTCACAGTATAGTGCGAGGCCATTTCCTCCCCGGGGATCCAGGATTAGAAACGGCCTTACCTGTTAAAGGTTTCAGTCAGAGTGGTTGGGAGAGAGTGAGTCTCACCATTTTTGGACAGTTAAGAGGATTAAAAAAAAAAAACAAAAACAAAAACCTCCCCTGAATTGACATCCTTCCATAGTTGTTATCAAAACTATTTCCAAGTTCCACTTTGACACTGAAGATCCAGGCTCCAAATATTCACTTCATGACTCAAACCTGGTTTCTGGAATGACAGCCATCAGCTAAATAATTTGTTTTAGCTTAGAGTTCAAAAACCAGAATGAGAACAGAATTCGGGCTTTCTGATTTCTAATTTAATATCCTGTCCACTGCCTTGTGGATGGGTCAAATCGAACTTTTTTCTTTTGGTGTCACCCTCGGCTTGATTTTCTCTCTCTTTTAAAGTTTAATCTTGAGGGCCCTGGGTGGCTCAGTCGGTTAAGTGTGTGACTTCGGCTCAGGTCATGATCTTACGGTTTGTGGGTTCGAGCCCCGCGTGGGGCTCTGTGCTGACAGCTCAGAGCCTGGAACCTGCTTCG